CATAGTGTCTACCCCACTATAGCCTACACAAGCTATACAATATGAGTTTGACACACCCCATAGGAAAAGTGGGGGAGAACAAGAGGTCACAAGACCACTCAAGCAAAGCGAAGCAAGCTCAGGGTGGATCACAAAGTCACCACACAATCCAAGCACAAGAGCAAGGCCAAAAGGCCAGTTCACATGCAAGATCATATATAAAGGAAAACAAGTAAGTGTAGGTATAGAAAGATCACAGTACAAGCAAGGTCAAGAAGTAAGCAAGTGAGGCCAAGTAGGCACAAGACCTAACATCGTACAGAAGCGCTGATGATCACAAGGCGGAAGGGCCTTGGTGAAGATATCAGCAGTGTTGGCCTCAGAGGCCACGTAGGTGAGGCGAAGCTGACCACGTTGCTGCAGCTCACGAGCAAGGAAGTAGCGAAGAGCAATGTGCTTCGTTCTGTGCTCCAGTTTGTGCTCCCGACACAAGGCCAGCATGGCCTTGTTGTCTACGTACAAAACTGGAGGAGAATGGGGGGCGGCTCTCCGAGGTCAGTCAGCAGGTAGGTGAGCCAGCGTAGCTCCTGTGCAGCCATGGCCCCTGCGTAGATCTCAGCCTCACAACTGGAGCTGAGAACAGAAGACGAGCGGGTAGACCGCCACGAAACAGAGCGGAGCCAAGGCTGAAGGTGTAACCCTGTGACGACCGCTCCATAGCCTGGGTGTCAGCCCAAGAAGCGTCAGAGTGACCTGTGAGGACCACTCCACATCGCCCTCCAAGCACTAGCCCCATGCCCGACGTACTGCACACGTAGCGCAACACCCTACTCGCTGCAGCCAAGTGCTCTGGTCGGTGTCTCCCAGGAGCAACATAGCGTGCCAAGTATGCTAAGAGGGTATGCAAGGTCAGGTTGTGTTGCAGATCATCAGGTACATGAGGCAGCCAACAAGCTCTGGGTACGGGCCACTCGGCTCTACGGACTCATCCGAAGGCAGAGCTGAGAGCGATTGGTAAGTAGACAGAGGAGTGGCCTGAGGCGAGGAGTACGTGAAGCCGAAGCGCTGAAGGACTTGCTGCACCATGTGTGACTGAGTAAGGGAAATGGTGAGGTGTGCTCTGTCCGGGTGATTTGCAAGCCAAGGTAGCTGCGCAGTTCACCCATGTCTGTGCACGTGTGTCTCTTCTGCAGCTCGGAATTCACGTGGGCAAGTCCAATAGTGTCAGCAATGGCAAAGACCAAGTCGTCGACGTACACGAGGATGTAGAACGGCGGCAACGAGGTGTCGGTGTGCAGAAACAGCGACGGGTCGGCTGTAGAAGGAGCAAACCAAGAGCCGCAAATGTAGTACTCAGTGTGTCGTGCCACTCACAGGGCGCCATGGCGGAGACCGTAGACTGGTCGTCAGAGGCTCCACTGGGTACAGGAGGAAACCGACCCAGTGAAGCCAGGTGGACGCCGTGGCCAGTTCTCCTTGTGCAAGCTACACTACAGGAAAGCTGTGCTGAAGTCAAGAGAGTGAAGCTCGTAGTCGCACTGAGCGGCTATGTGCAGCAGCACCCGAAGAGTGGTCATCTTTTAGGTGGGATGAGAAGGTCTGAAAGTAGTCAACTCCCTATCGCTGACTGAAGCCTCGAGCCACGAACGCGCCTTGAAGACAGGCGGAGAACCCGGCGGCCGCTTCACCCTGAAAATCCACATGCCACTGACGATGTTCGCCCCAGGTGGGGGAACCTCGTCAACGTAGGTGCCTGTGGACTTCCACGAATCCATCTCTGCATCCATGGCCGACTGCCACTGAGAGGAGTAGGGACCCTTGATCGCCTCAGCGTACGATCGAGGAGTTGGGATGTCTGGTGCATCCGGGTCTCCCTTAGGGGCAATCAGCATGGGACACGAGATGAGGCAAAGCAGCAGCAAAACACTGGAACTCCTCCTGCCTGTCCTCAAAGACGTCTGTGCTAAGAGCACACTCACCCCCGATGGACGGAGGATAGACAGACTCAGACCCAGCAACTAGACTAGCAGCGTAGTCTAGACGACAGCAAGCAGCGAAGTCTACAAGCTCAGCAACTAGGGCAGACGAAGCAGTGGACTCAAAGGAAGGGTCAGTGATAACAGTAGCCAGGAGACGCGTGACAGAAGGACTGGCAGCACGAAGAGAGTCAGACTCCGGGTCAGCAAGAGTAGGAAGAGAGGACTCTGGAGGAGACTGCAGCGGGACACGCAGAGGAGCAGTGGAAGGACGCAAGCGCCATCTGGTGTGTGCCTGGGACCGCAGGAGGACGTGGACGCGCAGTACGACAACTAGTGCGAGCAGCACGAACAGGCGATGCAGGACGAGACGCAGGCTCACAACGCTCAGCAAGACCTCTAGTAGGACCAGTGTAGAGAGAAGGAGCAGGTAGGGGGAGGCGGGCTGTAACTGTGACTACAACTGGACAGGCTGTGGACACTCTAAGGGAGGAGCAGGACCAGTAGAGGGCGGGAGACCAAGAACCTGCTCAAGGAGCGGAATGAAGTACCGCCTTGGCCGCGCAGCGCCAGCGCCAGCAGCACCCCCAGCTCAAACAGCGCCAACTCTAGCACCCCCTGACGCACCAGCGCCAGCGGAAACACCAGCGCCAACACCCCCGAGCAGCTCCCGCGCCAGCAGCACATCCAGCTCCAACATCACCAACTCTAGCACCCTCAGAAGCACCAGCGCCAGCAGCACCTCCAGCGCCAACACCCCCATCTGCTCTAGCTTCTGCTGCACCAGCACCGCCAGCAGCTCCAGCAGGACCAACTCCACTAGACCCAGCAGCACCCCAAGTCCCAGCAGCTCCAGGACCGCCAGGAAGAGCACCTCCGGGACCAGCACCAACAGCAGTAACTCCAGCTCCAACATCACGGCTCTAGCGGTGGGCAAACCACTCGCGCAGCTTCAATGGAGAGAGTGGCTCCCGCCTCGAGGAAGCACCGCCGGCGACCACACGAGCAGACCCAGCGCCCCCAGGCTCCGCACCCCCAGGCTCCGCACCCCCAGGCTCAGCACCCCAGACCCAGCACCCCCAGGCTCAGCACCCCCAGACTCAGCACCCCAAGTCTCAGCACCCCCAGACTTAGCACCTCCAGACCCGGCACCCGCAGGCTTAGAACCTCTAGCAGCAACAGAGTCAACAGCTACCTCGACTGGCTGGACTGCTTCTACCTGGGACACACCTGAGGGGGCAGGACCTTGAGGGGGGAGGGGGTCTACGGGGGGGAGACTTAGCGCAAGGAAGTGCGGCAGCGGGGGGAGGGGCGCAGTGCGGTAGGGAAAGAGACGGTAGTAAGGCATCAACTCGTCAAAGGTGACGTCCTGGGAGGACAGAACACGGCGCGAGATGGGGTGGTAAAACTGCCAACCAGGTGCGTCAGGGAGGAAGCCAAGGAGGACGCAGGGAACAGCACAGGGGGACAGCTTGTCTACAGACAAGTCGCGGACAAACGCCCGAGATCCCCAGACCCGAGACGCAGACGCATCGCCAACCTTCCCCGTCCATCGCAAGGAGGGGGAGGTCTCTGGCAAGGAGACCCGGGGCTGAAGGTTGAGCTGATGCGCGGCGTACTGAACCGCAAACGGCCACAGAAAATGGGGGGCAGCCGCATGCATCATGGACGTACGAGCGACGTCCATGACCATGCCAATGCGGCGCTCAGCAATCTAATTTTACTGTGGAGAGGCCGGAAGCGTGAAGGTCTGGCGGATGCCCTGTGCACGACAGAAGGCTCCCAGACGGGCAGAGGAAAACTTCCCGCCTCTCTCCGAGTGCAGACGCAGGACAGGAAAGTCCGAGCCGAAACTCTCTCTGAGCAGGAGATGAGCTGCGCGGATCCAGTCTATCAACACCTCAGGGACGTCACCCTTGCTGCGCAAGGGGAAGACTGTGGTGTAACGCGAGTAGTCGTCAACCACCAACAGGAAGTAACGCTCGTGCCCATGTCCACGAACGCGGGCAGGGCCCCACACGTCCATGTGGAGGGTCTGTAGCGGAGCCTCTATCGGAGGAAACTCGGAGGAGTGAGGGGGGGCGCGCTGTTGCCCCTCGACGCAGGGGACGCAGGTATGGCCTGGCCCCGGAGGTAGGGGAGGGAGAGACTGAGGGAGACCAGAGACAAGGACATGGGAGGCCATGCCTCGGAGACGAGGCAGGGAGGGGTTACCAAGGTGGTGGTGCCAGAGGAGAGTATGGTGGGACAGGAGACGACACGAGCAGGGAGCAGACTCAGGACCAAACCTGGACGCTGCAGCAAACACCGGACTCGACGCAGCTACCTGGGCAGACTCAGCAGCAGGAGGAGACTTTGTAGTAAGGGTGTACAGGCTCGACCCCGGCCGACGGGTGAACGTGGCCAAGTGTCGGCCTGGCCGAGCACACGTGAAGTGGGTCACCCGCTGACTCGCAGGAGTGAACTGATCAACCCCCCTATCCTGTATGTCCGCTCCACTCACCAAGTTCGTAGAGAACGAGGGGAGGTAGAGACTTGACAGGGTGCTAGAGGGGGCTACCGAGCACAGTAAGACAGTGGAGAAGCTAGCAAGGATAGTACCCCCAGAGGGGTCCGCAAGGGAGACTGCAACCGGCCGACTGAGCGGCGTAAGAGTGGTGCGGTCTCGAAAGAAGGAGCGGGACACATGCGAGTGAAGGATGAAGGTGTGGAAGGCTTGAGCCCACGTAGTACCTGAGAGAGCAGACTCACCAGCACCTAGGGCAGCTGACACACTAGCCCCTGGGGCAGCACACGCACTAGCACCTAGAGCAGTAGCCTCACCAGCACCTAGAGCAGTTGTCTCAATGCCCGGGTCAGGCGGTACACACACGTAACAGTCACCCTCAACACTAGTAGTTACAACATACATGGCAGCAAGGATAGCATCATAGTCAAGATCAAAGATGGCAACCCCCGCCCTAGTTAGATCTCCCCAGCGAGGGATCTCTAACGCCTCAGGGAACTGGCGACGCCACGCGTCCGTCAGGCAACCGAAGCAGCGCTGGGTGGAGTGCGCCCCCCCCGCACTGCTCACCAGCTCGGTCGCTGTTACTGAGGACGTAAGTGCAGGGTCCAGTACCCCCACCGCGCTGACGCGCAGGGTACCACTCACGAAGCTGCTGAGGGGACAGGGTCACACCACTCCGCTGCTGCTAGCGCGGACCACCACCTGACCCACTCCTCTGCGCAGAGTTGCGACTCGCTCCACCACCGCTGCCGCCGCCGCCTCCGCCGCCTCCTCCTTCTCCGCCTCCTCCGCCACCTCCGCCGCCTTCGCTCCCTCCGCCACCACCGGCGCCTCCTCCGCCTCCACCGCTGCCGCCGCTGCCGCCACCCCCGCCACCACTCCCACCACCACCGCCACCCCCTCCACTGCCTCCACCACCACCTCCACCGCCCCCGCCAGCCCCTCCAGCGCCCTTGCCTCCCTTGCCCTTGCCGGTGCAACGTCCCCCGCTAGGGGCAGACGCAGCGCCAACCGACTCAAAACCAACGAGGTCGGCCGCAGCAGTAGAAGCAACAGAGGGCAAGAGGGGGGAGGGGGAACACCCCTCAAAGACGGGGGTGCGAGGGCCACCACGAGAGGCTCCTACAAGGACTATGCTTTTCTCTACTACTAGGAGGCCCTTCTCGAGGAGGGCAACGGTGTGAGTGGAGGGGCAAACTGAGACGAAGTGGTCCCTGACTACGCGGAGAGAGTCAGGGAGCCGGGTGACTATGTAGTAGAGGGTGATGTACATGGGGGGGGTTCTTGGCGCAGAGCTCAGCAGGAAGCTCAGTGCGGTAGCGAGTGTCACTAGTGCAAAGGTGCGTAATGAGGTCAGCGACTATGGGAAAGGCAGCAAGGTCAGGGAAGAGGTACGGTAGCATGAGGCGGCTTAGTGCAGCAGTGGCACGGGAAGAGTAGCGTGCAACTACAGCGTCATACAAGGTCTGAGCACTCTTGTACTGGCTAATGTGTGCACGCTCAGTGGTCGGTAAGTGGCGACGCACAGCAAGACAGGCAGCAGCATGGCGTGTGGCCCTTTGTGAGCGAACAGTGCTGTCAGTAGTAGCAGGCGGGGCAGGGGAGGCACCAGAGGTGAGGTCGAGCAGAGAGAGGCCGTCTGCTATATCGCACAGGAGGAACATCTGGAGGTCATTGACCCAGACCTTCAAAGTCAACAGCACGGCCCTTAGTGTCAAATGTAGGAACACTGGGGGTAGCCATGAGTGCAGAGGTCTAGCAAGTAGTGGGCTCACCAGTACGAGTAAGAAGGGCCGGGGCGCGTCGGTAGGACTTGTAGTGGCTGAGCGGCTCGGCTGCTGAGCGGCTCTGCGGCGGGCGGCTCGGGGACTCGGCTGCTGAGCGGCTCGGCTGTCGGGCGGCTTGGCGGCTAGGGGGCTTGGCTGTCGGGCGGCTCGGCGGCTAGGCGCCTCGGCTGCTGGGCGGCTCGGCGGTGGGGCGGCTCGGGTGCTGGGCTGCTCAGCTGTCGGGTGGCTCGGCGGTCAGGCGGCTTGGCGGCTCTGCTGCTAGGCGGTTCGGCGACTCTGCTGCTGGGCGGCTCGGCGGCTCTACTGCTGGGCGGCTCGGTAGAGGCGGCGTCGAGGCCGCGTAGGAGGCGGCGTCGAGGCCACGTGCGATGATCCAACCACTTGGGAAGAGCAGCTGCCACTCATCGAGTTGGCGTACAACAACCTTCCGCCACGACCCAACATTCACCGTTTTACCTGAACTACGGACAAGACCCGACAGCCCATGACCCGGAATCCCGACAACCCGGTGCTACGAGCGCAACAGTTCGTCGAAATTATTCAAGCAGCATGGACCCGGGCAGCAGACGCAATTAAAAAATTGAACATCATTGCATAACGCAACGCCGACCGCCACCGCCGACCTGTCACTTACACGACGACCTTGCTTTACTTGACACCCAGAACCTCAGCTAGCCCATTACCCCAAAACTTCGCCTTCGATACTGTGGACCATTCCGCATCAGCCACATGATTACACCCGTCACCGCCCACCTCCTCCTCCCCGGTAACTGGTACATCAGCCCGTCTTTCCACGTCAGTCTGCTTCGCCCCTACGTACCATCCACAAGCCAACTACTACGCAACCGCCTAGCCATCATGACACGACCGCCGACCGAGCAAATCATAACGCCCGAGAAGATTCTGAGCCACCGAGTTCGTGCCCCACGAGGAGCCCGAAAGATCGAATTCCTGATCCGCTGGAGAGACCGTACACCCACCGAAGACAACTGGGTTCCCTTGGACAGAATCGAAAACCACCCCGTCCTCACAAAGTACCTGGGCAGCCGAAATCTCCGGGATGTACACGCGCTTTCGTAAGAAGGGCCTCCTTAGGGGGGGGTGGTAGTGTAAGGAAAATTCCTTTTCCTTATTTCGCTTCCCTGCTCAGCGCGTACACCAGTGTTCCCGCCAATAGCACCCAATAGTAAACCGTTACCATTCGCGACATTCGCCTCGACACTGCTCCAGCCACTGCTCACGACGCGACCCAACCTCACGGTTAGGTTGGTAACTCGCGCTACGGACCTCCGCCTCAACATTTCCCAACCTCGGCGCCCGGCCCGTCGCGCACCCCATTTTTACGCATTACCGTTATCACTGTAGTTTCGCTATATATTCTTCACGCATTGTACTTTTGCTTCGATAGTGCAATTTTCGCTCGCTCACTCAATTGCACTCGTAGCAGGTATGATTCGCAAACCGTATGGAAGCCATGCCTCGGGTGAAGGACAATTTTCGGTTCGGTTGTGGCGCGACCTGGCTTCGTTGGGTGCAGCTTTCGTTCACAACCAGATCCCACCATTCTAAATACTAAACAAAACGCTGCACAACGAAGTGCAGAGTACAGCACCCATTCATTTGGTGGGACGATCCGTCAATTAGGCGCAAAGGTGGTGCAGATCAAATCCCCATTTGCTTGGCTTGGGCAAAAAACCACACCACAGTCTTGCGCAACCCAGAATCAAGGAGGGTTGGGCAGGGGGAGAGTTCCTCACAACACTTTTGCAATGCCCTACCGCGTCTTGCGGCAGCCTTTGTTACCTGCGCGACAACAGGCGACACAACGATGTACGGAGTTTGCAAGGCGGCGCCAACACCTGCATCGGGGCGCCATTGCATTGACTGTCAAATTATAATGTTGTGTAGGCTATAGTGGGGTAGCCCATATGGGGTACATATTTCTAGGGTTGCATATTTGTATCACTTTCATTCCATAGTCTTTCATTCTCGTTCTAATTTCCTCATGGTATCAGAGCACATGGCTGCAGCGAAGAGGGTGTTGCGCTACTTGTGCAGTACGTCGGGCATGGGGCTAGTGCTTGGAGGGCAGAGTCCAGTGGTCCTCACTGGGCACGCGGACGCTTCTTGGGCTGACGACCGCTGCGTAGCGGCGTGTACGTCGACGACTTGGTCTTTGCCACTGCTGACACTGCTGGACTCGCCCACGTGAAGTCGGAGCTGCAGAAGAGACACACGTGCACGGACCTGGGTGAACTGCGCAGCTACCTTGGCTTGCAGATCACCCGGGACAGAGCACGCCGCACCATTACCCTGACTCAGTCACACATGGTGCAGCAGGTCCTTCAGCGCTTCGGCTTCACGTACTCCTCGCCTCAGGCCACTCCTCTGCCTACTCGTCACTCGCTCTCAGCTCTGCCTTCGGATGAGTCCGTAGAGTCAAGTGGCCCGTACCCAGAGCTTGTTGGCTGCCTCATGTACCTGATGACCTGCACACGACCTGACCTTGCATACCCTCTTAGCATTCTTGCACGCTATGTTGCTCCTGGGAGACACAAACCAGAGCACATGGCTGCAGCGAAGAGGGTGTTGCGCTACTTGTGCAGTACGTCAGGCATGGGGCTAGTGCTTGGAGGGCAGAGTCCAGTGGTCCTCACTGGGCACGCGGACGCTTCTTGGGCTGACGACCAGGCTACGCAGCGGTCGTCTGAGGGTTACACCTTCAGCCTTGGTTCCGGCTCTGTTTCGTGGCGGTCTACCCGCTCGTCTTCTGTTCTGAGCTCCAGCTGTGAGGCTGAGATCTACGCAGGGGCCATGGCTGCACAGGAGCTACGCTGGCTCACCTTCCTGCTGACTGACCTAGGAGAGCCGCCTCGTTCTCCTCCAGTTCTGTACGTAGACAACAAGGCCATGCTGGCCTTGTCTCGAGAGCAGAGATTGGAGCACAGAACAAAGCACATTGCTCTTCGCTACTTCCTTGCTCGTGAGCTACAGCAGCGTGGTCAGTTGCGGCTTGCGTACGTGGCCTCTGAGGCCAACACTGCTGATGTTTTCACCAAGGCACTTGCGCCTTGTGATCATCAGCGCTTCTGTACTCAGCTTGGTCTTGTGCCTGTCTTGCCTCACTTGCTCACTTCTTGACCTTGCTTGTAGTGTCACATATATATACTCCTGCTCTTGCTTACTTAGCCTCTTATATATGTATCTGCTCCTGCATGTGAACTGGCCTTCTGGCCTTGAACTTGTGCTCGGAATGTGTGGTGACTTTGTGATCCACCCTGAGCTTTGCTTTGCTTTGCTTGACTGGTCTTGTGGCCCCCTGTTCTCCCCCACGTTGCCTATGGGGGTGTGTCAAATTATAATGTTGTGTAGGCTATAGTGGGGTAGCCCATATGGGGTACACATTTCTAGGGTTGCATATTTGTATCACTTTCATTCCATAGTAATTCATTCTCGTTCTAATTTCCTCATTGACTACAGTACATGCTCAAATCCCACCTATGGCAGCCGGCGGGCCTGCACCACGACAGAATAATCCGACGATGCGGAAACGATAAGTAGTAGCGCGGCGGAAACGACTAGGAACACCCAAAAGCGCGGACGGTAGCGAAAGCAAAGCGAGGGAAAGGCTCACCTTGCGAAGTCCGACGCTCTCCCATCGTGCATGCGGCTATAAAAGAGACTGCTACGGATCTCGCCCTCCCATTGTTAGGACTTTGCTCCGATTAGCTCAATTCTCTATAGTGCAGCCAAACAGCTAGCCAAACACCTGCCGCTAGCTCCATCCGTGGTAATCCGACAGTCGTCCATCCCACTGGCGGTACTAATTCCAGAAGCTCGACTTCCAATCGAGCATCGTGCGGCTCCATCCAGCCATCATGGCACAGGTGACTCCACTATCGCGCTCGCCGACCCTCTACGTTTCGCTACTCGCTGTCGTCATCGCCGTTGGTGAGCCCACCACTGCTATGCGCCGCTATGCGTGGAAGAAATAGTGACTGTTGCCGAAGTTGCTAATCTCGATGTAGCACGAGGCGACTCTCTGTTCAGATTTTTGGATATGGATTGCGCCGTGAGGGCGTCGGCAGGAGAGATGGCGAGGGCTAACGGGAAGGCTCCCATGTAGAGCAGGCCGCCGACTTTGGAAGCGAGAGCCATCGGAGAAAGCAAGGGCAATGATCTCCTGAGAAAATTGCTGGAGCCGAATAGCTCGAATGTAAGAACAGAACCTTGGATATTTAGACGCTCGGCGCAAAGTAGTTCGATTTAGATGATGACTCCAGTATTTATCTATAGATGACGACTATAGTCGGGGAGTGGGGGAGAATAGGACCTGGGGACCCTAACCAGGGGTTCCAAGCAAGAAAAGGCTTCGAGTCGCCATCGCGAATGACAATTATCTCGATCTTAGCAAAATGGCTGCGGTGACGATACCGAAAGTAGGTGTTGTGAAATTCGTGGGTCAGGCGAGCTCAATCATAAACGT